AGCCGTGTGGGATTCAATGAACACAACCCCAATTGACACCAATAACCGCCGTTAGGGCGTGTCGCGCTTGCTTTATACAGCTGTTTGGCAACACTCGAATATTCCATTCCAAAAATCATGTAAGTTAGTCATCATCTGATTGACGTAACAGGGGAACATTGGGAATTCCCAATTATGAGTTTGTATGAGTTTTAAATCTGATGATGGCGCTGTTGTCTCGCCGAAACGTTATGAAATAAACGATACAGAAGTTTTTATTTCACACTTTGACTGAAACCGAGGACGGAAAAGAGTATAATAACTGCTCATAAATGGTAACTTTCAGCTATGAGGGCAGAACGCCGCTGCATATGTGCTGCCTCTCAGGGTTTGTTGAGTGTTGTCGCAAGTTCCTTCAAACCGGCGTGAATTTAAATGAAAAAGACGACAGTGGCAGAACGCCAATCCACTGTGCGGCCTATAAAGGGTAAGCAGACTCAACTTATCCACGAAACTTATAAAGCAAATTGCCGTTTGTTTGGCAGGTTTATTCAATGTTTGGACCTGCTTACAAGCAATGCGGCCGATTTCGCGCTAAAGGACAACTTCGGCCGCTTGCCCCTTCATTATGCCGCCGCACAGGGACATTTTCAATGTGTTTTCACTTTGGTCGGCATTGGCAGCCCCATTAACGATAGGTAGGTTTGAAAAGTTACTAATTACACAGCTAATTCTTTGCGATTTGTTGACAGAGATATAGACGGATGCACGCCCCTACATCTAGCCGCCTCTTATGACCAGCAGGCCAAATGTGTTGAGTATTTACTGGACCATAAGGCGGATGCGAAAATTCGCGACGCTAAAGGCAAGGCATTGAGCAGGCTTGAGAGGGTTTTGGCTGAGTTTTACGTGGCTGTTTTAGGATTTTCCGCTCTTCACTACGCAATCGTCTGTGGCAATGAGGAGGGCGTGACTCTGCTGCTCAATGCCACTGAGGAATCGGTCTACAAGAAGGAAGGAGTGTCGCCCGATATTACACCATTACATCTGGCTGTAAGTTTTGTTCGCGCTATTCCAGATAAACGCAAAGATCAGCGCAAAGCAAATTAAAACCGTCAATTTTACCGTACCATTAAAACCGTTGAACCGTTTTAATTTTCTGCTAATATAAATTTGAAAGGTAATAATTGACTCTGACTATTGTGCATTAAACAGTCACAAAAACAACCAATCCAGAGGCGACATTCAGTTGTGCAGTAGTCAGTCTTGAGACACTTTAACACCGGTTTTCCTGCGCCCTGAAATTGCGAAAAAACATCTGCTTTTCATACTGTACGCACAAAAGTTCGCTCCTATTTTTTACAAACTTCTTTTTGGGTATTTCGCCTCAAAAATGTTTGTCTTTAAAAAAGACAGAATT